AGTAGTAGTAGTAGTACCTACTACTATAGTCGTCATAGTACTTCTTCTTCTGCTATGATTATTAATATTATTGCTATTGTTACCGTTATCACTGTACTGTTTTTATCTTTGTTATTGTAGGTCTTACTATTATTACTATTATTATTGTTACCATAATTTCAGATGGAAGCTTGCAGGATGCATACAGACACCCAACCATCTCAAGGAATGCGTCAACCCCACCTGCTTGGCGAAAGAAAATGGAAACTACTATAGTATGTTGGCACTATAGAGCTTTAAAGTGGAAACGGCTATAGTATGATGGAGTTATATAGGGATAACGGGAAAAACATGGAAACGGCTATAGTATGTTGGGGTTATATAGGGATAATGGAAAATAAAATGGAAACTACTATAGCATGTTGGTGTTATATAGGGATAATGAAGAATAAAATGGAAACGGCTATAGTATGTTGCGAATATATAGGGATAATGGAAAAGAAGATGGAAACTACTATGGTATAGTTATCTACCCCACCTGCTTGGTGCAAGCCAACGTTCAGAGAAGGTCAGGTCAAAAGACCCGCAGAACTTGAGCTTGAGCACATTGGCTGCGCTCTGGCAAGAAAACGGCAATGTGAGTAGTGTTTTTTGATGGTTGTTGAACCTAGTAAGATTATATCCCTTAGATAAAATACTATACCCCAAAAGGAGGATATAATCTTACTCTATATTGGGTACCATAGTATCCCCAAATTGAATACTACTCATGTGCGCTGAACAGCCAGATTGCATGCTACCCCCCATATGAGCTATAGTCTGAACTCCTAGTATCCCCCTTAACCCCTCTACTCCTCCCCTATATCCCGCTGAGGTAGATAGAATATGGCTTGGGTACATTATAATAAGATCCCCATATACCGCATATTCTATCTACTTAAGGGGGACTATATATATATATATAATAGACTATAATATACGATATTATACCTATAATATACCCATATGTACATATATGTATACATAACTTAACCATATAATAGGCAGACTTGCTCATGCTTGGCATGTAGGCACGATCTGGTCATCTTACATGGCTCCTGAGGCAAAAGCCTGCATCCACTTTGAGATATCCACCGCAGACAGTCTTCCAGCCTAGCACCATCTGAGCCATAGGCTAAACTCCTGGTATCCCCCCTAATAGCACCCACAAATAATCCTCTATAATATCATCCCCTATAGACCGACCCCCCCCCTTGAAGGAGTTTAGACTCTAGCCCACCTTGCTGTGGGAACGCAAACAAAAGCTTTTAAGCTTGTCTCAGGGTGGAGAGGCAGCCGCCTCTTACAAGCCAGCACTTCACCTCTTCCCAAGCCTTCCCTTCCCTTCCATCAAAGACACCAGCTTTACCAGCAAAACGACAAAAAGGCTTTTGGACCAGTTTCCATTTTCTTTTCCATTATCCCAACATAACCCCAATATAACCCCGAATCATAATAGTTTCCAGCTTGCTTTCCATCATCCTAGTATAACCCGAATATAACCTTTGCTTGCTTGACAAGAGGCCCGTTTGTTGAGGAGAGCCAGCAGCAGATCACGCGCATTCCCTTCCATACCCTCGAAATTGGCAAGCTTGGACTTCAAGACCCAGTTTCCGCAGACAAGCACAGCACAGTCCCGTAGCATCACAATGAGGGCCTGATCGGACCCCTTACTTCGCAGGGTGCTTTGCGGCAAGCGTTTCCGCACGTGCTGTGTGAAGGATGCGACGCCAAAGTGTCTCACAATTGCTTCCACCTGCCGTTCTGCGGGCATTTTGCTAAGGACGTAGGAGCTTAGCCCGTCCTGGTTCATGGACGCCTTCTGTCGCATTTGTCGGAGTTGATTGCGCTCCTCTGCGTGGCCGCACATGGACCTCAAAAAGGAAACATTGTCTCCGTCAAGCTCCAACGGCTGCAGCTTGGGATGTTCTGGCGCATACCCTTCCATATCAGCCTCATATGCCTCAGTGGCGGCAGAGACGATGTGCTGCAGGTAAATGTCAGCAGATTCCTGCGAAGTTGCATCGAAGAAATCTAGCCTTCTCCAGGCATCCTCTGTGTCAACCTTTGTTGTGGTCATCTGGTCACCTTGCGCTCCCTTCCCACTGATGTACTCCACACGGACTGGAGCCATGGAAGGGACCTCAGCCGCATCGCTGGGGCCAGGCTCTTCCTCCCCACTATCGGAAGCACCAGCACCTGCTCCAGGTGCTTCTGGGTCTGCCGTGACTCCAGCTGTCTGCTTGGACTTCAGCTTCTCAAAATCCTCAAAGTCAGGCCTCAACTGATTCACCGCACGGATGGGAGTCAGCGTCATACGTCCCTGACGAATAACCCCAACTGCATAACTGCAAGCAGGATTTGCCACAACAGTTGAGTTCAGCGTGTGACGCTGCTCGTACTTTTCCTGCATCACATCTTCGTCCGCGTAATGGTCGTTTTGATGCAGCTTGTACACAAATTTCAGGCGTCGTGACTTCGGCTTCATTTCCACCCTGTCCAGCACGCCTTGATCTCCGTAGGGCCTGTAACTCGGTCTCAAGGGATACTGAAGGACATACATGTCCCCCACAAAGTCGGGAGGGTCGTACATCCGGTTCAAGTAGACATCGCACTCGTAGAGCAGCTCATCTTCAGATTCGGGTGGGTCTTGTGCTTCTGCCTCGTGCGCCTCCTGCTCCTCGCCGAGCATGTCCTCGGCACGGAAGAAACCCTAAATCCAAGGAAAGGCTTCGGAAAAACCAACCTTTGCATCGAGATGCGGTATCACCGCCTGCAGCACCCTCATGGCTCATTGGCCTTGCAAGTCCTGTTTCTGCGTGCGGGGTGTCATTGAGAAAGCTAGACTTCAGAGAAAACGGCTTATGTCAAAAACAAAGTAGTAAACTTGATAGGTCTTGCCACGAAACCTAGTGCAAGGCGCATTACCTGGCAGTCGGGCATGCTTGTGTTGTAGCTGATGATGTGGCGCTGAATAGTGGCGCGTTGCATGGGTCAAAGCTGCAATGTAGACACATATCCAGACGCGCGCCGTCTGGCTGATTTGGAGCCAATGCCACATTGGTGAATCGCAAGACGCTACAACACGAGATTGCCTGAAATGGCTTAAAGCAGCACTGGAGAGGACCATGATGCCCGTGGAAAGCAGGTCAGCAACTGGCCAAACTTTGCTTTGCCTGAGAACAGCCTGCTACTGCCTGCTAGCAGCTACCATGTGTGGCTGTGTGTCAGATGTGTCAGGCAACCTGCAGCAGCTCGCAAGGGGTTCAGAACTTGTTTCTATGCTAGGTGTGCATCAGCCGTCAGCGTGCAGCAAAAACGCCTTTTCCATGCTCAGACGTCAGCGTAGCCAGAACGACGAGCAGGTAAGACAGCTGTAGGCAACGTCACGAGCTACGAGAATGACCCTAGCGACCTCAACTGCGCTACCCGCTGCTCATGATGCACGACTTGGAGGTGCTTGAGCACGTTGACTTCCAATCTCTTGGAGGACCACGAAGAATCACCTGCGCAAAGCATCTGGCTCCAAACGCAATAGCCGGACCCTCCGAACTGCAACCTTGCAAATATCAGCAACGCCTTTGGACTTTTCACTAATGACCAGCCGCGTTCGCAAATCGTGTCTGTACAAGAGCATCAGGCAAAAGCAAGCAGCTCATGATATGTGAGTGCCTTCACGCTCTTTATCTTGCAGCTTGCTTCGGACACCCGTGAGATTTGAACAGGCTAGTAGACAAGCCACGTGAGCTCTAGTCTAAACTCCTTACAGGGAGATTGTATAAGGGTGTATATAGGGGACTACTATAGGGGTTGTTAAGGGGGATACTAGGAGTTTAGACTATAACCCCCATAATCCCCTACATAACCCTATATAGCAGTTTCCATTTCATTTTCCATTTTCTTTTCCATTTGATTCTCCATTATTAAGGGGGATACTAGGAGTTTAGACTATAGCTCATATAGTCATCTCCCTCCAACGAAGGTCCTGGTTTCAGG